TGGCGGGGCGGGACGGGGCGGGCTAGCCCGCGGGCCCAGGCCCGTTTTGACATCTCTATTCCCCGGTGCGACTCGCGCGACCAGCATGCCCAACGCGACCCGTCTTTGCGTACCAGCGTGCACCCATCACCCAGCGCGTAACAACACGCCCAGCGCCCCCAGCATGCCCGAGCATGCAGCCCGCATGCTCCCAACACCGAACCCGGGACTGCCCGGCCAGCAGTGGTCCAGTCCGGTTCACCCCCGCGTCCAACACCCAGTTCGAGCCCAACTTAGTTCAGTAGTTGTCCAGGAGTCTCGGCGAGACCACGAGCAATTTCAGGCGGTTCGACCAAGCAACCGGAGGTCCGGGACAACTAAACGGGAGGTAAGAGTGACTGGAGATATGAGACGCAAGACACGGTTGAGGTACGATGGCGATGAGAGTTCAGACGATCTTCAGCAACGGAAATTAGAAACGTCTCAGAGTCGACAATATTTTAAAACCGTAAATCTTATGCTAACTATAGATTCCGCTGCGTGAGATTTACTTCGTTAGATTCTAAGGTGCATATCAATGACGTTCCTCATAGATTCTAAGGTGCATATCAACGACGTTCCTCATAGAACCCAACAAGCTAAAGTTCTAATTCAATTAGATTTACAAACTTCTTGCTATATCTATCAGATTACCTCAATTTTCTAATCCATGTGGGAAAAATAGAAAATTAATTTGATTTTTTATCCTACTTAATCAGAAAAATATAGTAAAAAATCTCATGGGATAAGATCCACCATATTTTATATGAAAATCACTACTTATGTTATTATATCCATATGTGGTAACCAACAAATTTTATATATGTTTTAAATCAAATAAGGATGTTGTGGCTACTCATTATGTACTTCAAATTATATTAGCCACATAACATAAAATAACAAGTCATATAATTGTAAATCTATAACAACTATTTATCTATGAGCTATCAAGATCAATATATGTAACATGATTGACAAACACAATTTTATTGCATGCATGATGTATAAATTTAAAGCATACACAGATATTTCAAGCATAAACATGTTAATCATAAAATAATACTTCAAAAAAATAATATTAAAAGCATTAAAACACATACTAATTAATTTGCAGTAAAATTAGCATATATAAATTGTATTTAATGATAACACAAAAGGGAAGACGACATGCTAGTATGAGGGTTGACTTAAAGGTCTTATCAGGCTCTAAGGGGGTGATTATTTATGGATTCAACTAGTTTTTATCTGGTTTGTTTTTTAAGTATTATTAATTTTGAAAAAATGTGATATAGTTAGTTGTTAGTAGATATTTTAAAATAATATTTAAATAAAATAATTAAAGTTGATTTGATATAAAGTAGGAGAAAAATGATTGGAAGTGATAATTAGCAAAAATTATGTGAGTGTATGAATAGTGAAGTAAAGTTAATGTGATATGTAAGAATGATTGATTGATATTGTTTAATTATATTTATAATATTGAGGATAATGTGGTTGAGTTAAAGTTGAGTTAGATTTGAGTTTTGATTGATTTTTTTTTTTTTTTTTGGTTGAATTGAGAAACAATCACCCCCTAAGCAGCCTGTCTTGGTTTCGAGACCAGAGCTTAGTAGTGC